CTCCTGGCATTCAAACTGCAAGGCATGGTGCCAGAGAAGCCACAGAAACAGCACAACCACCTGCTCATCCTTTTGAAAATTCAATCACTTTTCATTTAGACACTTTTGATAAAAGGGATGGAGAGGGAGAGAGAGATGCTGATCCATTACATTTATGGCTGTCCGGTAAAATAATCTGATAAATGTCCTGGGAAGGGTCCCTAGCTCTGTAATTGCTATCTGCTGGCAAAAAAGAAAAAGAAAGGTGATAAAACACACAATTTAACTGAGAGAGAAGATGCCACCAGGAAGACCCAGTGGGAACAGACAAAGGCCGAAGTACACATATGGTCAAAGAGGGTAAACTAATGAGTGTGAAAGTGTACAGTGTAAGGTAAGGAGAGAGAATGGCTCACACCTGAGGAGTCAGTGCGATCCTGGTGGTGATGGGGAAAGTGTTGGATGAAGAAGAGGGATAAAAAATAAAGTGGAGGAATGGAGGGGACTTGAAATGGAGCAATGACTTGCTTAGCAAGAGAGGGAGAATGTGTGCAAGTGTAGCCTGTGTGTGTGAGTGAGTGTGTACGCTAGCAGAGTAGTGTGGCATGCTGTGAGCGGGTCAAAAATCAGGGACAGATGGGGCTTTGCCAGGCAGGCTGGGTGTGCGAAAATATGTGTGCAAGGGCTTGTGTGTTTATAGATACATACATTTAGTGGGTTTGTGTGTGTGTTAGAATAAGCTGAAACTGCTGTTCCTCAGTCGTGCTCTCATGCCTGAAGACAAATGTGTATAAATAACTAGAGAAAGCAGAGCAGAGCTGAGCTCGATGAATCCCAGAATAACTGTAACCCCTGACATCCTGGGGAGCTGAGTCAGCCATAAGCATGTGTGTCATACTATGTGTGTGTTTGTGTCCCTACATCTGTGTGTATATATCTTTTTATCTGAACTGAAAGTGCAAGCCCATGTGTGCAGCTGGGTTTTTGTTTTATGTGAATGTTCACTCTTTGTCTGTGTGTGTGTGTGTGTGTACATGCATGTAGGGAGTCCTGCAGATGGGATCCTGTTCCCAGGAGACCAGGTGCTGCAGATTAATGACACAGTGCTGGAAGATTTGAGTGTTGAGCAGGTGGAAGACATGTTAAGGTGAGGAGAATTGCTGAAATACATCTATCTATCTATCTATCTATCTATCTATCTATCTATCTATCTATCTATCTATCTATCTATCGGTCTGTCTGTCCGTCTAGTATTTAAAAGCCATGTTTAAACTGGGTCATGCTACCAGTGTGTCCAGTCCATTCAGTGACTAAATACACTGTCATAGTTGTTTGATAGAGTGAATTTCAGTCTGTGAATGATTCATGTGTGATGATGCGTGTGTGTGTGAGAGAGCGAGAGAGAAGGGCTTAGCAAGTTTAGGGCAAAGGTCAGAGGAGAAAGTGCTTAACAGATGGACAGAAGAGATAACAACCTCTCTCATGTGCATGTGTTTGCATATGTTTCTGTGTATGTTTTCTGCACAGGGACTTGGAGGACTGTGTCACTGTGACTATCCTGCGGCACATGACAGTGAGTACAAAGAAGACATTGATTACCTCCGCTTAACACACACATTCATAAAGAATCATTACATCATTTTTCATTTAAACATACAATAAATGCTTTGTGCGTGTTTCCAAACATGTGACTGTAAACTCACGTCGTCTGACCAGATGAACTGCCTTCACACTGCCCCCAGAGTGCGATGTGTAAATGTAAATGTACAGTATTTGTGTCTGTCAACCCTTTGATTATGATTGTAGCTCTTTGTGTCTCTCGCTGGTCTCAGAATTAATCATACCATTACACACAATGTAACACAATGTAAACATCATAGCACTGTGTGTGTGTTGCAGAATCCCAAGTCATCTATCATGTCGGCAGAAAAGAGAGCTCGTCTGAGGAGTAATCCAGTTAAAGTGCGCTTTGCAGAGGAGGTGGTGGTCAATGGGCACACTCAGGTGGGAAAACCTTATCTGATACAGAACGGTGTCTGAGCCACTGATAAATGGTTATTTCTCAGACTTCCACACTTTTGATCTTTATTTATTTGGTCTTTATTTAGTCTCATTTTTAAGCTGTCATGCAGCTTTTTCCTGATATTCTATCTTTTCTCATTTGTTACCAGTTTCTGTCTAACCACAGTGATATCTCTCGCTGCTCTCCACCAGGGAAACTCTCTTCTCTTCCTGCCCAATGTCCTAAAAGTCTACTTAGAGAATGGACAGACCAAGGCCTTCAAGTTTGACAACACCACCACTGTCAAGGTAAGGAACTAAAAAGCATCTCAGTGCAGCTTTTCATACAGTGATTGCACAAGAGGTTCTAAAAGCAGGATTGCTGTAAAATCCATATATACACAGCTACCATGAAATTTGTAACCACAGAGATTTGTGCAACAGTTCAGGTTCTGCAGGAGCCACAGGCTCATACCCAGACCAGTACTCTGAGAAATAAGTATGGATATACCAGCTCCACACCAAGGGCTTGCTACTATAGGAGTGTGGGAGGAAATCAGCATAAGTAAAAAGGGAATGGAAAAGTCAGGGGTCGGTAGCTAAAAGTTATTCCTGACCTGTGTGACCATGAAAGCCAATGTTGAAGTTATGCAAAGTTATTCTCTATCACACCTCCAAGCTGAATAAAGTGAAAATACATAAGTCAATAATATAAATAATCTACAACTGGACATAAAATAAAACAGCAGAGATAGAAAATAATGGACAAAATGATTACTTTATCTGGCCTGGTACTCATAAGCCCCCTCACTTTCTCATAAGCATCATGAGACCAGACATGACTGGTTCTTGTGAAAGGTATTCTAGAAACAAGTGGGTGCATTTTATAATTGAAGCAAACCACAAGTTATGGCATGATTGCCCCAAGCATGACAGAGTGTGGGTGGACTGTGGCTGCTGTAGCTGTTCTTAATGATGGAATAATACAAAAGAATATTAGTGAAGGTGGTAGCTATGTGTGCAGTAACTAAGATCCATGTTACTGTAAGAATTACTTATGTAAGAAAGGCAGAGGTGGAGTTTGTGTGCAAGTCTAGAATTATCTTTAGGATCAGTCTGGAATTTGCAGGCTGACAGATTTTCTGTATCCAATCATCACAGTGGAATAGAGGTTAGAAAATAGAGTCAGTAACTCTTCACCCAGCAGTCCCATGTCTGTTGTCTCTGTAAGGACATTATAATTGTTAGATTTTTGCATTTGTATTTCAGATTGTATTCCCAACCAAAGGGGAAGCTGAGAGGAGAACTCAGTTTTGACCACCTGCCCTCAGTAGATGGGGATGAAACATATACAGTATGTCTATGGGTGTCTGAACTCTGTGTTTTTCACCATTGCAGGACATTGTTCTGACTCTGAAGGATAAACTGTCCATCCGGGCCATCGAGTACTTTGCTCTGGTGCTAGAGCAGCAGTACAGCATCACCAAACTGCTGCTGTTGCATGAAGATGAGCTCATACAGAAGGTGAATGAAACAATGACAAACCTAAACACACACACACAAATGTATTTGTAGCTGGCCCTTCATTGTAGAATGATTTGTTTTACAGCAGAAAAGATACTTATGTGCATCTTTTAAAGAAAGGAATTGCAGAAAACCAAGTAAATATAATGCAAAGGACAGAAAATGCATGGCTGTTATTTTTGGTTCATTTTGAAAGCTTACATACATCTTTATACCTTTGTCCCGTGTCTTCACCAGGTAGTGCAGAAAAAAGACTCCCACGACTACAGGTGTCTGTTCAGGGTGTGTTTCATCCCCAAAGACCCCATGGACCTGCTGCATGATGACCCCTCTGCCTTTGAGTACCTATTTTTACAGGTTAGAGAAGCTAATTCTGTAATTTACAGTACGACTTTCTATCTGTCTCCATTGCTGTACATCTTAGGAATCTTGTATTGTTTGATCTAAATCATAATTTGGCCTCATTTGCATTAAAACCATTTCACTGTATAACCGATGTTTAAAAATGGCTGGTAACTAAACCTGCTGCAAAGAGTGTTTCAGACATAGTGACAAAATCAAAGTTGAAAATATGTTTGAAGCTAACATGCAGATGCTCCCTATTTGCTTCTGACATCAGTTCAAAACTGTCCTCATCTTAACAGGATGTACAACTGTGGCCTTATATCATCTTGTAAACGTTTTGTGAATTAGCGAAGAATTTGATCATCTCCTGCACAAACATACTCACTGTTAGCTCAGCTTTGACACTATATTTATACTCTAAAAACTTGGATGAAATGTCTCAAAGCTGCAGACTGTCTTTGCATATTCTTGGTGCACAGGAAAGCACTTGGAGTGCCACTTACTGTATGTCATGTTGATTTATTGTTGTACTAGAAGTCTTTGCTTCCTCCTCCTGTGTTTGTTTTTCTGTATAAATGGCAGTTGGGGCTTCTCAGTGTTGGTTTACCTAAGATGCTCATGAGCTGTGGATTTTTGGAGTGATATAAAGTGTGTTCGTATAATATACTGTACAAAAAAATCTGAAAATATGCCATTTCAGCTGTACATCGATATGTTTACTGCAATGTGCATGTGCCTTTGTAACATCTGCATGCATTACACTGTGACTGTGTTTTTCAGAGTGTTGGGGATGTTCTGCAGGAACGTTTTGCAGTAGAGATGAAGTGTAACACTGCGCTTCGCCTGGCAGCGCTGCACATGCATGAGAGACTAGATAGCTGTGGACAGACCAGGACTTCTGTCAAGAGTATTATGTGAGTGTTTATCGTTTTATGGTTAAGATTGGACCGTCTGCTGCAATCTTTGTAATTTGGAGAGGGAGGTGTCTTTGTGTGCTTGACGTAATTTTTCCTGTTCATGTCTCTCTTTCACATTTCAAAGCTCAGCATGCACAAACACACATAAGTACAGGTTAATTTTCCACAGATCCACATCACTGACTCACTGGTTATAGATTACTGTAATATGGTTATATACATAAATACTCTGTCTATCATACATGCAAGCTTTTTTCACCTCAAGTTAATCTGATAATGCAGTCATGATTACAGGTGCAATTAATGGGACTTTCACCTAAAATATGGCTGTTTAGTAACATCTAGTGGCAGATCTAGGAAATATGCAAAGTCATCATGTCTACTCCACAAAAGCCCACAAACTCCAATGTGATTTTATATTTTTAGAAAAGTCTGTATTTAGTTTTATTGTAATATGCACATTTTCACCCCACTTACTGCTACAGTGGGTAGGCTTACTAATTACTTCCTGGAAAAGACCTGAGACCAAATATTTCCAACAACGTTTGGTATATCAATATCACTATGCTAATAAAATGTTAACTGTGTGTTGCACTGTCCACACTGACACACTTACTGAAGTGCTAATACAACCTTAGAGCTAGGCAGAAAAAACTAATGTCAGCCTCACTCTCAAACACTTATATTTGTATTTCATTCATGTAATAATCATACTAATGGCTAACAAGAGAAGGCACAGGTAGAGTACACTTCTTCTTTCTTTGTAAAATTTTAGTGAATGTGAAAATGTGCTTGTGAGCCAGTGCTTTATGATGCATTGAAAAACATGAAGCTAACATAGCTACAGCAAGAGTTGTCTGGTGAATGCATATCAGAAACTAGGTGGTTTGCCTTGTGAAAAACTAATATCACTGTGAAATCATCTTTTCTTCAGTTACATTATATTGTATTGTATATTTCATCCTACAGTTCCACATAGGTTTGGACTTTTGCTGAATTCCAAGCTTCTTCTTACTTTAAAAATGCTGCACCAATATTTACTTAGTTTTTTGGGGGGGAAATCATGTGTATGAGTCACTGTAGTTCACTCCCACTTTTAGCAGGCACTGAGGAAACAAAGTTCTTAATTATGCATTAAATCATTGTGCTTGTCATTTTTCACTGTGGTGATGGCAGAAAGGAGTTTGGCCTGGACAGCTTCATCTCTCCCACACTGCTGAGCAACATGAGAGAAAAGGACCTGAGGAAAGCCATCAGCTACCACCTCAAAAAGATCCAGTCCTTGCTAGAGCCACGTCAGAAGGTAGATATAGACTGATGGATGAGTGGAAGGAAGTGCTGAGAGGCATGAAGAGATTCATAGTGACAGTTTAGTAGAGGCTTTGGGGTACTTTTTAGCTAACACTTGCAGGGACCAGTAATCTCCAGTTTTAAGTGATATGACATCAATTTTGGAGAAAGACAGATGGTGGGTGGGAAATTCATTAAAAAAGTGAGTAGTAAGTCTGGGGCTTGGGTAGTGTTTCTGGGAAGATAAGTAGAGTATATATCTCTGTGGAGAGCATGGTTTTGGTCAGGGAGTCAATCATATTTCTCCTGGTTTTCTTTCATTCTGTCACCTTGCTGTCTGTCTTGCAGTCACTGTTCTCCCTTTTTCATGTCGACTGTGGCTTTGTAGGTAATATCTGTTACTCAGGCTCGGTTGGCCTACCTCACTCAGCTGGGAGAACTCATTTCATATGGGGGACGATCATACACAGCCACAATGATGGTAAGAGTTATGAGCCAAACGTGCCAAATGTGTTAAAGCATATACTGTGTAACAGATTCAAATAATTCATACTCAAACTGCTCAAGAGCTACTTCTTTAATCTTTTTTTTTTATCTGCACCACCTCCTTTTATTTCATTCTGTTCTGTATTTATTCTTACTCTCATCTACATTTAGCTTCAAGACAGGGAAGTGCTGGTTAGCCTGCTGGTTGGAGCAAAGTATGGGATGAGTCAGGTCATCAACCACAAGCTCAACGTGATCTCTACACTGGTTGAGTTCAGCAGCATCAGCCGAGTGGAACTGCTTTCAGAGTCGGACAAAGTCAGCCTACTGCGCATCTCACTACACGACATGAAGGTACTGAAGAGGCAGGATGCATATTGTATACAGTACCTGGTCACCGGGGCCACTAGGGTCTGTGGTCCATAAACATGTAGACACAGATAAAAAAAAAATGGATGTTCACTCAACATGCCACATTTGTGCCAAAGTGCATACTAGATTAAATTTAGGTCAAGCATTCCTCCTCAGAGAAGCAAACATATACAGGCTAGAAAAATGTGTGGTTGCTATAGAAAGCAAATTCGTTGGACTCAAAGGTGACTTTCTCTCCCTCTTTCTCCCACTCCATTGCCTTTTCTCCCTTACCCTTTGGCTTTAATCACTACCGCTTTACCTTATCTTCTGCAATGCCCTCCTCCTCACAGCCATTTGCCTTACTGATGGACTCTCTGGCAGCCAAAGACTTAGGGTGTCTGCTGGGAGGCTACTGCAAACTCCTGGTGGATCCCAGTGTCAATGTCTTCCGTCTGGGGCACCCAAAAAGGTTCGCCGTAATAGAGGGTGTGTGCTATGAATCCCTATCAAGTGAGCAAAAATTGTTTCACTTAAAATTAACACTTTATGGCCTTGGCCTTTTAATAGAAATTTATCGCATCAAATGTTGATGTATGTTACCAACCAGTATGGGTACGGATAGATAAGCAAGTCATACTATCAAGATTTAAACTTGATTCTATTCTGCTGATGTACTAACAAATTGTTTTGTGACACCTGTCTGGTGTTTGTGTATTTTCCTGGTGTTACTAGGTTATGTGTCTCGCTGCTGTAGTGACTCAGATGACTCAACAGATGAGGATGACCCAATGGACTCTCAAAGTTATAAACGTCCAGACCCTGCAAGTCAAGACTGGGAAGGAAGGAGGAGAGAGGAGGAAGAAAAGAGGAGAGAGGAAGAAAGAAAGGAGAGAGAGGAGCACAAAGGCAAACAGGAAGTGAAGATAATAGTAACAACAGAAGGTAAGGAAAATGAGGCTGAAGAGGAAAGAGGAGCAACAGGGAGTGGTCTGCGGAAATTTAGTATTATGGATGAGGAAATGAACCAGGAGACCATGTGGTACCACACTGACCCACGGGTCACCAGCAGCTTCTCCAGTTTGTCCAGCAGCTCCTTGAGCGCTGCACTAGAAGAGAGTAGTGCTGCCGCAAAAGCACTCTGTGGACAATGCACAGGTGGGGAACTCTCAAGCTTGGACATTCACCACCCCTACATCTTGGAGACAAAACGTTACCAAGGGCCCCTGCGACCGACCAACCTCAATTACCGCGGCAATGACAACTCTTGTCTTTGCTTTGCTGAGCTCTCCAAGGCTGATTTCCTTCCTAGTCCACCTGAAGCTACCAGTGATGATGATGATGATGATGATGAAGAGACAGAAAATAGGGGGCTAGGGGAACTCAGACGCATTTCTAAGATTCCTAGTTCAAGAGATCTGAGAATGATTGATAGCACTCCATTTCAACGATCACCCATTAAAAAAAAGAAAAAGATTCCTCCAAAAGTCCCACTAAGGACAAGTTCCATTCCTGGGCACAAAGCAGGACAGGCTGAGCAGCGCCTCTCCAAGGATGAAGAGGGTCTATTCCTGACTCCTTCACCCAATCCTAAGCCAAGTCTTCTGCTCAAAGACACTGTCTCAGAGTCTGAGGACGAGTTTTTTGATGCACAGGAGAGACTTACTCCTTCAGTTCCTGATCTGTCAGGTTTGTTTACAGCATGTAAGGCTACTTTGTACATGAATAACATCCTTCTCATGTTTTTGTGAAGGTCCGTTGTCTGTGACAGTGTGTTTGATTTTTAATGTGATGACAATATGTGACAACAGTAAGACATTAATGTGATTAATAAAAGTCCTTTTCTTTTGATTTGTCTCTATCTCACAGACTCTGAGGTGGCAGACCGACGAAATGCTAATCGGTTGAGTGGTACCTGGAATAGTCTTCCAGCTGTGCCAGGAAAAGAGCCATCCTCCCCCCTTGCCAATAAAGTCCACTGCTCTAAAATAAAAAAGGAAGTGGAGCTGCTTAAAGGATCCACAGATAAACTTTCCACCCAACAAGCCAGTCCAACAAAGCCATTACAGAAACCTGAAGTTAAGGTCAAACCACCACTGGCACCTAAACCCCAGCTGCCTCCCAAACCTCAGGTCATTCCTCCCAAGTCCCCCCAGCATGGGAGATCATATGCCCACTGCAATGGGGATGCCTCTGGACGTCTGTCCTCCGAACTCCTGGAAATGGAGCCAGACACAATGGAATTCAAGTCTGTCACATGTGGGGCAGGTGGACTACCTTTATCATCATCCCTGATTAAAGTAGTGTGGTCCAGCAAGCAACCACCACCCATCACAACACCACAAACTGAGGAAAAAATGAAGAGGCAAGAAAATAGCATAAAACAGACTAAAGATTTGGGACATGAGAATGGCACACATGTGGATTCCAAAGACAAAGCATGCATTTCTGATGAAAAGGAAACTTCTAAAGTTGATGGGGAAAACACTGGGACTGTCCTACCCACAAAAAAACTGTCAAACCTAGCCCCTATCCCTCACTCTAATTCAGGTACAAAGCCAACTGTTCCACCACCAGTGCCCCCAAAACCCACTTCTCCTGCCCAGCTCCATCCCTTATCACTACCTGCTAGCTCTCCTGTCTCACCTACTGATTCAAGCAAAGGGATTTTCAAGGATAGCATAGGTCCACCAAATGGAATCCATCCTTGGAGCGGCCACAATGGCAGTGTCCAGACCGGACCCAGGAGAGTCTCTCTGAGCCATGAGAGCCTCTCACCCAAAAGTACAGATGCACCTCTCACCCTTACAACATCCCTGACCTCAACAAGCTCTAAAGGAGTTGGGGGTCTAGAAAGCAGAGAACCTGGAAGATCTGGTTCAGGATTAGACCTGAGGACCAGCTCCTCCAGTTTGGGAGGTAGACTTCCAGCCTCTGCCCTGAGAGGGAAAATCCAGGCACTGCCTTGGTACATGACCCGTTCCCAGGAAATTCTGGGAACTCTTGACTTTCCCTCCACTAGCTCCATCAATGGAGACACATCTGGATTTGGCTCTGGTTTGTCTGTAGCCAGTGGTTTATCTGACCTAAACAAAACCCCTGTCAAGGAAAAAGAGACAGTGGCCTTGAAATCAGGAGGGAAAAGGAACATTTTAGAGGATGGAGCTGAAGTGGTCATAGCCACCATTAAAGAAGCCCAGGAAGTGACCTCACACATGAAAAAGGCCAATGGGACAAACGGTTCACACCCTAATCTGAATTTTAAAGAAAACAGTGTGCATAGTGGAAGTGTTTCATCAGAGCAACCTCAGTCACGGCCCCATTCAGCAGTGGGGCTGGGCGGTGGGTCTAGCATGCAAATTGGAGGTGACTCACCGACCTCTTCACTTGCAGACACTAGCCCACCACAGCAGCACCGTGAAGCTTGTGGCTGCCGCACAGTTTACGCCCACTGTTTCAGTGGAGACACTGAAGATGGTGTTAGCTTTGATGAGGAGCTTACTGTTTATGAGTTCTCCCGCCGCACACGCCCCAAACCTACCCGACCTGCCCCTGTCTCTTCTCCTACAACACCCTTCCCAAACCCCAATATCTTGTCACTGCTGAAAGACAACCCCCGTCCGCTCTCTACTTTTTCCACTGCATCTTCTGAACTCAGTCCCCTAGTTTCATGTCCAGTTTCCCCCACAGCCTCATTTGGTGGTCCTCTTCGTTTCCTTACCAACAAAAATTATGGTGGGCTGAAGGGAGGTTTTGCTTCCCTACGTCAAGATATAGATCAACTTCTGCTGGTCTTAGAGAGAGGAGCGCTCAATCAGTCACAACAAACATCATGTCAAGACTCAAGACCGGATGTCACAGGGATGAGAGAAGGACATGACCTAAATCACAATGGAAATGAAGGCGATACTACTCCTGCTCCAGGTCCAAGTTGTACTGGGTCAAGCCCTGCCACCATGACAGAAGCTGAAAGGAGTCTTCTCCAGGCAGAGGCTCGACGATTAGCATCTGGGTGTCAGCGAGCCACACGTGTAGGTTGGGCTCCTGATGAAGCCCTACGTTCTTTATCCAACAGCTTTAGTGCTTTGGTTCAGCTGTCAGCAGCCTGCCTGAGAACAAATCCCTGCCCTGGCTGTGACGTCTGCCGTAATGTGAATCTAGTCCACAAGGATGAGGACGATGACAGCCAGGAAGCCATGGATAAATTAAAGGAGATAGTGGGTCTGTACCGGGAGTTTGTTGGTGCTGTTGAGACAGCTGGAACTGGTGCTGGAGTTGGGGGCAAGAGTGTGGGTCTCACTGGATCTGGACAGGGTCATGGGGAGGGCGACGGGGTGAGGCTGCTGGCCAAACGCTGCACTGTGCTCATCTCCTCTGTATTCACACTCACGCAGCTCTTCCGGACACGCACACTAGACACCTCAGACCCACCTGGCCACATACCTCTCAACTTTTGACCTGTGAACTCTCACCAACTAATAAGTCACTGTTTCTTTGGAGGTGAAACAAGAGAAAACAGCACAGAGCAAACTGGTGTGGTACCCCTGTGCTCTTGGACAGTAAGTGCCATGCACACCACAGCACAGAGACATAAGCCGACATTACACACACACACACACACACCAAACAAAATTCAAAGAGAGGAACCTTCACTGCGTGGCCTCTTCTTGGACACGTACAGACTATGCATATGTACATATGAATTTTATAATTATCTTATAATTTTCTTATTTTATGATACAATATCTGTATGTATGTAAGGATGGATTACCCCTGTATGTATTTATGTATTTATTTTTACAATATTTTCACCATGGTCTGTAATGTGCAGGTCACTGGTGAAAGAAAAAACTATGGATGTCACTGGAACTAAAATTTTTTTCCTCTCTTTGAGATGGTATTATGATTTTTTTCCTTTTGCTGCTTTATAGATTTCTCCACTGAACAAGGTGTAATCTGTAAATGGTCATTTTTCAAGTTTATTATTACAGGACATATTACTGACAAAATACAAAAAATATACTTTTATCACACTTGCAAAACAATGTAATTGACTGATTATTTTTATACGTGCAGGGACCGCACCTTTTTAAGGACTAGGTTTTTCAACATTGCCGGCACATATAAATGGGATACAAAACTATACCATTACAATGCAGGGAAAGCACTTTTGACTGTTACAGATTGCACCTTATTATGAGACACATAACCTTGTGTAAAGTGTTTCTTCTACCCCTTCCCTGGTCCAGGCTGATTCTGAGGGAATGCTTCATGGAAATACTCCCATTACCCAAATGTATGCAGTATTAAGCAAGTTTTCATTCAAAGGACATGACATCTATATCTGGGAATGGGTGAGTGGAGCCCAGGGAACAAAACAGAGGACCTTATATATGTAGTTTAAAAATGTTTTTGACTAGGCACAAGGGAGACTGTTAAAACTCTGTCCAGATGTAGCAAATATCCAAAGTCTTAAAACACCAAGCCACAACTGTTCCCCACTGTGGTTTCCTCTTTGGGCAAACCACCTTATTAATAACAAACTGACTGACAGATCTGGTCTGACTGCTGTATTCTGGAGTCAGAACTGTAGATATAAATTTAAACCTCTGTGTCCTATTCTGTCTCAACCTTAGTTTATGGCTATGCAATCATGAACTCCTCACCCCCACATACTGTATTCTTGGTTTTTGTGCTAATTTTACAAATGACAACAACAACAAAACAATAATACATTATGTTCTTCTGAATATAATGGGTGCTTCTTTTGTTTGGAATGTCAGCTTTTGTCTTGTTTCATGAAAACCTACCGCATTATGGATTGCAACATTCTGCATAATTGCATGGCATTAGCATTTGTCAATATGTTGACTCCTGTCTATACTGATGTCTGTGAATTGTCAGTAAAAGGATTACATTGCTCCATCAGTTTGCTGATGTACAGTGTTCACTAATCAGACCATCCATATCACATGGTGCCAGCTCAGTTGATGAGCCATCCGATCTGAAGGATTTACTCAAGCCACCTACCACAACAGCACAGTAATTAAGCCAAATCAGTCAGCAGTTGCTTATACAAATAAGATAAGGGGATCAGTTGAAATAAAGACTGCTTAAGTGAGGAGATAGGCAGTATATCTTATCTACTATATTAAATGTGGCTACGCTTCAAAAATGAGGCATGTCTCTTGTGTGAGACTGCAGAGATTCAAGTTGCCATGGAGGTCATGTCCAGTAGCAGTGTTCATCACAGCACTAATACTAACACACATTGTGTCTCAGGATCATCTCTAGTTGTTCAATCAAACAGGCCAAAACAACAAAGAGTGCCTGTGTCACCTGCGTTTTTTTCCCCTGTATGGTAAAATTATATCATTTCATATTCAAGAGAACATTGTGTTTTTACATGAGCATCACTTTTCCATACCCACGTACAACGAAATCGATGTACCAAGAAATGTACTGTTTGGGAATAAATTACACACTGACCTTGATAACACTGGATGTGTTCGGGTTTTGTCTGTAGACAATTGTTAGCCACTAGTGATCTTGATTTGTGCTTCGTGAATTTCATGTACTGGTTCATACAGTGTAAGTGAGTCTGTTTATCAGATCATAATACAGTTGAGAGCCACTGTTCTTGACTTAACATTAAACCCAAGGGCAACTTTTAACAACAGCACACAGAATGGTCTGATGATAAATCTAAGAAGTCTTAACAGCCTCTCTGTTTGTATTGTCTCTACACCACTAATTAGTTAATGAGCATTACTGTGGGATTTCTTTCCCAGCATTGAGTAGTAGCTTCCATGAAAGCAGTGTTTATCTGTACCTTCATTATCATTCCTTTCTCTCATTTGGTACTGTTAAAGGCTCAATCATTTAGAGTGAACCAACATTTCCACCCCTGTTAATAAAATACATTCTTAAATAATGAATTTGAATGTTAAAATCTTAAGATGATAGAAATACATTTGTTAGAGTGGAAAGTAACAAAGCTGAGAGGCTTTTTAACAACAGCAGCTCAGCTCTTCCTCCTGATCCAAAGTCCCCATGTCAGATTGCCCCTTATCTGATCCTTATCTGTAGTCTGCACTAGCAAACATGTACACACAAAACATGGTCTCTTAAGTGCAGTTCTGCTAGTGGAGCAATTTCTATGATCAAATACATGGTGTGCTTAAATGTTAGCCTCAACCTTCATTATGATCCAGTGTTAAGTCTGTTCAGATTAACAACAACACAACATTGTACTGCTGATGTTGTTTGATTGATTGATTTCAAAGAACAGTTTACAGTGCATATTTGGTCAGACAGGTGAGAGGTTTTACTGTAAAGTATGATTAACTGGCACAGGGATCACAAGGAACAGAAGCCATTCATTTTCATAATGTATGTCAGTAAAAAATCATTTGTTAGCTTATTCTTTGAGAAAATGTGACAGCTGACAGATGTGTCTTCAAATACAACCAAAGAGCAGATGCATTCACTGCCAACATCTTTAATGGATTTTCAATTTTTTTTTATTTGGCTGCAATTATTCATTTGACATTTTTATAGTGATTTGGATACTTGTGCGTCAGAGAAAGTGGCAACTATAAACAGAATGCTTTAATGTCTGCAAGTATCCCACTTTCAAAACATAAAATACAAAGTTGTACTTCCAAAGAGGAAACTTGGGGGAAAAAAAGGATCCCCTGCAAAAATACAGTGGACTGTGGACAGTCAAATCAAAAAGAACTGAGGAAATAGGCCAAGTGATCTGTTTACATGGCAGCTTGAGCGTTTTGTGCCACTGAACATCACCCTCTGCCCTGTCTTCTCTCACTGATCTCTCTCAGGGTCCTAGGAGCATGCCCTTCCTCTTCGAGCCGTCGTATCCAGCAAGAGCTACTGATGAATGCATCTACTCGAGCTTGAAATCTGAGCCCATTATGTCAACAGACGTTACAGACAGAGGAGAGCGAGTGTGAGAAGACGCATTATAGAAGAGTGAGCAAAGGGGGAGAAATACATGTAGAAAACAAGTGACATTAAGTTTAATAAAAAAAAAAACACATTGAGAAGCACTTATTTCATAGTCAATAAAAATGTATTAGTTGAAAGCAAATGCAGCGACAGTGCATGGTCAAGTTTATATTATAGGTTTTTTCTGAGGCTGCAAAAATTTGGTTTAAAAATGTTACCTTATATAAAGGCAGAACATTTTCAATGCAATTAGTCTCAGCTAAATCTGATTTTACTCTCTTCCAGTGAATCATAAAAACAGACAAGACCTGGATGTAACTGTGTTTTACCAACATATACATCAGTGGAGAGTTGTCAAAACTCAAGTGATATACACCCTGCCAGTAACACTTAGGAAGATAAACCAAGCCAACAGTGTTTGACAAAATGTTTCACATACACAAATCATGTGTCAAAAAAGACACTTTAAAGCAGCCTGCCTCTATCTGCTAGACGGCATCTCCAAGAACATGTTGGATCACTGGTAAGTTCAACCCTTTCTTAGCCTTCTGATCTTTCAACATTTACATTGAATTGGTGGAGACTGAGCATACAGAGAAATAAACTGGCCTTAAACTCACCTTGAAAATAATATTTAGCCAATTTCAATGGTCAAAATGGTGTAAATTAAGTGCCAAAATTCAGCTTCATAGAGAAAGTCCTCTTACAGACAGATGGTTGTTGTACATAACACTACAGCACACAGCACATACAAAAATTTTTTGTTTCCTACAAAACAGTTTATTTAGTCAAGTAACTTTTGCTTCAGAAAAGCACTTAGAGTTTGGTTTTATCATAAAATCTTTGTACACAAAGCAAACAAGGGCATTTGAATTGGACCCTGGCACAAGTGTTGTATAAGCTAAAGCGTGTGTATTCTTTTTAATACTCTGACAACAGCAAATCGTCACAATGGTAGGTGGTTATCTCACACTCACTGTTGGCCCCTGTCACAAGTGCAACTTCACTGCTGTCTACACTGCAGTTATGAAGCCTCGAGCACTGGCGTTGCTTAACAGTTTCCTTTTGGCTGAACAAAGTGGTTCCTCTGTCAGCACAAACAGGTTTTTCCCATTAAGTACTGTACATTCTCTTTCTTTCTAAATTTACATGATGTCATCGCCATCCCCCATCTCATATGACCTTCAGCAGCAGCTCATAGGTGGCATTGATGATCCCCCAGGAGAGGAGTGAACGGTGATAGTTGAGGTGGGCCCCTCTAAAAAGCATGACCAGGCTGCCACCCCTCTCTCTCCACACTGTTAGCAGCACCTTCCTACAAGGCTGGAAGGCTCCACCGACCTGAGACTGAGCCTGTGACTTTACCACGTTTAGTGGATAGAACATAATGCCAAGGCCTGCCCCCAACAGGCCTCCGCACACAAAATCATTAACCAAGTGACCTGGCCGGGTAGTTGCTTTTGGGAGCTGCTCCTTGATGGGCCCCCGGAGCCCGAAGAAGAGCACATTGCTGGGGCCATTACGGAGCAGTATGGGCACGAGGCCACGGTAGCACTCTGTGAAACCATACTCAGTCAGAAGTGTCCGGAAGGTGTGGGCTGTGTTGTTGAAGCGCCCATGGTGCCGATGGTCTTGTAATAGAGTTTGCACACGCTCAAATGGCGTCAGGACGGCCTCTGCAGTTCCTGCCAATGCTGCAGCAAAGCTTCGTGTGACCAGCTCTGGCACACCGCTGTTATTAGCCCGGTTAAGTAATACTCTAGAGAAGTCCTCATACAGTCCAAACATAATGGCCACTGTAGTGGACTTCTGAAGCAAGGGAGGAAGCATGCCCCGGTAAAGATTCCTCAACCCATCCCTCTGGAGCTGCCGCACCGCCTCAGTCGCCAACACACCATGGAGCTGCTGTCGGAACAGCACCTTCTGGATGGGGAAAGTCACCACAATATTGGTAAAAGCTGCAATGGAACCACAGACATAGTGCTTCCCTTGAGAGCCCAGCCTGGTGCTTGGAGCCCCATCAAGCAGCAGGGAGTGACCTCCTTTGGTCAGACCGGTCTGAGGCTGAGGTCTCCGGGCTGACTCAGAGTCCATGGTACTAGCAGCCATGGGAGGCTCAGTGCACAACAGCCTGATCCTCCAGCATCACATCAACACTGAACTTGTCCATAAAATATATACCCTGTGTGAGAGAGAGGACATGTCAGCTATACCCAAAGTGTTAATCACTATCCTCTTTTTAAAATTATTTTAAGCCACCTTTGCCTTCATTTAATGGTATGACAGCACAAGGAGACAATAAAAAAAGCCCATAGAATACACAACACCATACAAAATACCAGTGTTTGAAAGCTTTAAAAAGTTAAGAACTAACTCATAATGGTTTCATTTTCACATAAATACATAACAAACACACTTTGACAAACAATATGTTTGAAACTCCACCAAAAATCTATAAACACAGTTAAATTGTTTATGAAATAAAACCGCAAATGATACAAAACTAATATGCCGATTGAGTGAACTGTTTAGCCTCATCTATTTGCCTTAAGTTTGTACAGGCTGGCTGCCCCAACTGACCGCTGACAAGAGTTATTACACAACTTAACAGACTGATAAGTGTCAACTTGGTCATGGGAGAAGAAAATACAACTATGAGTGACAGAACACACCAGCAGCATTCATTTACATTACAAAGCTCGGTGTATTCAACATATACAGTGTGTAATGTGGCATTTCTTTTTTTTTTTAGGCCTGAATTTGTATGCCACATACAACAGTCATGACAAATTTGCTTGACTGAAAGCATGATCTTTGCTAAATTCAAAATAAGTATGTAAATTTATGTCCTTTATAACATAGAACAAGTGGTCTAGGAGTTGTCTAAATATCAGGCAAGGGTGGGATCAAAGCCGTTAGCTCCTCAAACAAAATATCACCCCAGAGATCCTTCCAGTTTCATGTCAGCCTGACATGACCAAACCAAACTGCCAGTGGGCTTCTGACATGTAAGACGCTATGGAATTTAAACAAAGTCCACGAATTTAGAATAATGTACAACTGTTTAAGTGCTACTGATCATACATACGGACTTTACCTTGCAATAGTATTTTTAAACTGTGGTACTGTTACTTTTACTCAAGTAAAATGCCCGAATGCTACTTCCAACACTGTTTGAATGCAAGAAGTAACATCCCAATACAGATAATAATCAACATTATGTAACTGATACTTTCAAAAAAAATCGATGGATTATTGCAGAAGACATCAACTCGGTTATGATTTCACTTGTTTATTGTAACAACTTAAAGAACACGCCCTTTATGTAGTTCCTCACTAGAACGCAGTCACTATCTTGTCGTGCCATGCTGGCGGTTAGCAGGCACATACATATCAGACATAATCTCAGTTAACCGTTTCATTACAAGGAGATAGATTAAGACATATGTGCAACTGAACAGGTAAAGATCTACCAATCGCCAACAGGATAGCAGCCTGTAAGTTCCGCTAAATAGCGGAACTTACAGCTAGGTTGTTAGCCAACCTAGCTAGCACAACAGTGCTGTTGCCTGGGCCTCTTCGGTTGTATTAGTAAGTTAAATGCATGAAGGGCTGACACAGGGTCAAACACAATAGTTGCATGCTACAGCATAAGACTTGTCTGTCTATCATGCTAAATGGCTAGCATAATAAGAGTTAAAACAGAAAAGCGCTGATTGATGATTGATTGGAGAACATGCGTCGGGGTCATAAATTTGTTTTTACCTCCCGTGTACACCAGCCGTTGTAGAATGCAGTTGTTGCAGGGTAATTGGCCCACTACTGTAGGTCGTGTCTGGACTGTAGGTGACAACAAAAAACACGTCTTTTGCGCCTGCGCACTACTGCAGTTCTGAGAGTGTGGAAAGGGCTACAACTGTCACCAGAGCTTCTTTCACATTTGCAGACTTAATACCATGTACAATGTAAATAATGGATAGTCTGAGTTTGTAATTCATTCTATACCCCTTTAACGCACAACATAAGTTGAGTAAAAAGCCAAAAACTAACCATTTTGCCGTTGTTTTTGATGCAAACTATGACTCATGTACTGCTTGAAAACTGGTCGTAAAGCTGAATGCAGCGTAGTTTTTACGACAACGTTATGACGTCATTATCGTAAGGTGTAGAATATGTGTCGGTAAATAAAACATCCATGGCAAATAGTGTAGCATTGATTGCCAATTTCTAAACTACCTTTAATTGCTCCCTTTTATATATGTATATGGGTAGTTATAATATGTGTATAAGACAATTGAATAATGGAGCGCGATTGCAAAGATGCCAACATAAAGGAACGTAGCTAACGCTAACTAGCTATATGTTGCTCGCTGTATTCTTACATTTTGCACAGAACTGATCTCTATAGTTTAACGCTAACATTGGCTACAGCTTGTACTTGAAATTTATCCACAAAGATTTTTGTGCATACATTACATTCAGAGCTGCGTGGGGGGTCAGCTTGTATCCTTTGGCAATCAAAGCTTCATTCGTGGAAAATGTCAGCACAAAAAGACTGCGAGTTTTTGGTGAAAAGAGCCCGAGAGCTGGTCTCTGATGATCCTTGTGCTGCCAAAGCCTGGCTCATAACCGCCAGAACCCTTTACCCTGCAGACTTCAACATACAGGTAACATTAAGCCTTTACCTCAACTGTTATTGATAATAGAACCACTGGAAATACATAAATTCTTTAGATAAATGTGCCAGTCAAGCATCACAATTTGTGCTTGAGTACATTAACATTTGCTTGACATGTTTTCACAGTATGAAATGTACATCATTGAACGCAATGCAGAAAGGACCTCTGCAGCAGGTATGCGTGTGTATGACATGTGAGTTACAGTGTACTATCTCTGTTAGAGCCACAGTGATTAGTCAGTCAAGTGGTCAACTATTTTGATAGTTTAACAGTTATTTAACTCATTGTTAAGTAATTTAGTAATAAATAATAACTGCCAACTTAAAAGATAATGAAAATAATTATTAGTTGCAGCCCTAATCTTGACGGTAATAATGTTAATGAGCTAACAGTTTCCAATGATTTGTCCATCCTTCAGGTTTATAAATTTTCCCGATCAGCCCATTGTGTGGCGGGAGATCAGTGTCATCACAGCTGCCCTGCGCAGTGACTCTCAAGACAAGCATGCACAGTTTCTGCGAGGTGAGAGGAGTTTTTAACTGCCTGGTTCAGTATACAGACCATTCATACATTAGTATACACTATAACATCCTACTGTCTGGAGTGTATGTCCATGATATCATCAGTGTTTTCTTTTATTCTTTTTTTTTTGTGGTCTGAAGACCATCTGATCTTTTGTGTGGGTGTTTGTCTCCCCCAGGGCTTTTTGAGACGCTGCCTGGCCGTGTGCAGTGTGAGATGCTGCTGAAAGCCACAGAGCAATGTTTCAACACTTTGGAGAAGGCAGAGATGCTGCTGCTCCTTCTGAAACGCTTTCCGGAGTCTGTCGTCCAACACGGGGTACATAACAATAACATAACGCATACATTTTAACCTAGTGTAAATAGCATTTTATACATTCACGACAATCAGTAACAGTAACAGTGCGCTATATTTTAGGTTAATTTAGGAGAGACACTGTTGGAGGCGGAGGTATCTGAGAATGTGGAGACTCCTGTCAACTGCTTCAGAAAACTTTTTGGTCAGTGAGACACTTAAGTTAAAATTTATTGGTTTTCTTTCATTTGCCAAAAACACTTGCTAAGTATTGTTTTACAATTGTAGTGTGTGATGTCCTTCCTTTGGTCATCAACAACATGGACATGCGCCTGCCAGCCAGCCTCCTGCAGAAGTACATGCTGAAAGCAGCTGAATTCTATATTGGTTATGTTACTCGTGGACCCTCACCTGATGTACAGATACAGGGTAGAGTTGCAGTGTGCTGATGTTGTTCTTTTATTTTTTCCTACTGAATGTCAATATTTCCTCTCCTACAGTAGGATCTATCACCATATTGTTTTCTGTTCACTGCCTGCCTGACATTTTTGTGTTCCTCTTCTGCTTTGTCTCAGCCTCTCAAGACGGTGGATCTCTGAAATCTCCCAGTATGTCCCGTGGCTCCCAGCGTTATGTGATTGATGGCCTGTCAGAGAAGTCATCAATGGTAGCAGAACCTTGGGAGAGGCTGTTAGATATCCTCGCTGTGATTGGAGCTCGCTGCGAGTGGCAGGGAGACAAGGGACAGAGGTAGTCTATCAGTCAGCCAGCACTGCTCTTTTTGTTGTGTGTCCAGGTGACTCTTGTAATATTAACACATTTAAATGTTCTTAAAATATTTGTTTTAAAACATTTATACAATGGTTATAAAACTAATGCAGTCTAATACAACAGCTCTGGAATAAGTCCTACATCTCTGATGGTCATAATGTTTTGCTTTTGTTGAAAACATTTTAGAGAGGTATTGCTTTAATCATCATTTTGGAAACCTAATTTGTTGTGGTGTTAAATTGTACTGTGTTGTACTGTTGTTCTACTATTTTGAATATGTGCAAATATATGCATTTCTTGCAGTACTGACATATGTAACATTCACCTACATACTTTATGTCCAGCCTTTGCCATTTAAAGTTGAGTAATATAAATGTTTTTCAAAGGTGTATTTTTGTGTGGCTATATGTGCTCTAGGAGTTATGTGGACATGCTGCAGAGAGTGAAGGAGCTGTGTCGCTACCTGCCTGGTCTGGAAGGAGACACAAGGGCTCGTTGCTGCAGTCAAGTGGTCATTTGTGCTGCGCTCGTCCTCTTCCGCAGTGCCTTTCTTTATGTCTCAGCTGTACAGCCTTCACTGTTCCAGGGTCAGCCTCTACTTTTGCAAGCACACGTAGTTTCCATGCTTGTTCATTCCCTGAACTCTAGTTCATTTTCAATGAAATGTTCAACGATCAAACGATGTGTTTATATTTGGCAGGTGTGAATGCATTGAGTTTGGGGCCGTGGATCCTTGTGGAGGATTTGTGTTCGGTGTACAGTGATGCGGAGTTAGAGAGAGGAGCATTGAAACATGGGCATAAGAAACGTAAACTGGCTGATGGGAGAGAGAAGACTATGGTGAGGACAGATCAGAGATCACTGAGATGTTTCGACATGATTTTTGTGAGAGCCAAAAAAGATTGACTGATCCCTATTGAGTGTGTGTTTGTCCTTAAATATGATTAAAATGGATTTCTGTTGCATTTGGTTTTTGGTTACTGAATGTATGTGTGTCATTGTAGAGCTCAGATGATGAGGAAGGGCTGGGGAAAGGCCGCGGTCGACACATTTTAGTGAATAAAACAGAGATGCCCAGCTGGTCAGAGACTTTGGAGAGCTTTCGCGTAGCGAGGGACAGCTGGGATCTTCTTCACTCTCACGATGGCCTGGAAACTGGTAGGAACCACTGTTTGTATTTTTGTTTACATCCAAACGGGATCCAGAGACATATTATTTGTATGTGGATAAACAGGTTAGCTGAAAAACGTTGTTGACATTCATGTATTGCTAAGTTTAAGATGAGCAAATTTAATAATTTAAATGTTTTTATAACTTTTCTGACAGAGTTCAAGAAGATCTGTGCCTCATGGAAGACAGATAGCTGGTTGTGGTTCCGAATATTCCTCACTGACATGATTATTTACCAGGCAAGAAACAGTTATGATTTTTTTTTTTGCTTGCAACAAGAGATGTTGCCTTTTGTATATCATGTTGCCTAAGTGATTTATTCATTTTACACTAGATTTGATCCTTGTCGGGAAATGGAGGAACATGAAAAACAGGGTATTGCAGTACATAGAGGATATTTAGAATACAATGTACAAATGTTTTGATGACGTATAAATAATTGATTTAAAGAATGGGACAAATAGGGGTTTTAAACCATTACACAGCTCATTACAGCAAGTGGATGAAACTGATGGAGATGGAATTGAATTAAGACAAATACATATTTACCAACAGGTATTTGTAAGTGTCTAAATATCTTCCTATGTGTGTGTCCCCAGGGACAATACCATAAGGCTCTCTCCAGCCTGCACCAGATGGCTGCAGTGCATCAGTCTCAGCTTGGGCAGCAGAGCCCCTCTGGTCCAGCCAGTCTGGAGCACCACAGAGCCCTCATACAACAGGCCTCTTGCCACTACGCACTGGGAGAGTACAGGGTAAACAGATGCACATTCACAACGCACAGACACACTCATCCTTGTTTTTGCCGCTTACCAGGTCCCTACATAGACTTAGATTCATTTCCAGCAGACTTACCCTAAACTTAACTAAACTTAATTTGCTCTAACTTTACACCATGTTGTTTTTGTAAAATTCAATAAACTACGTCTGTGCTGAACTCTGGTCCTCACAAGTGATGCCGGTCCCTGTGAAGCCAGAGTGCTCCCATTTGTTCAGTACACACAAGTATAGATACATACACTCATGTACAAGGTATGAAGGTATTAGGAGATAGAGATATACACACAGATTTCATACATTTCCATCTTTCCTCACTGTTTTCCATCTTTCCATCCAAAGCTGGCTCCAGATCTGTTGTCACACTGTGACACTGCATAGAAATTGTGGTTATCATGTTGAAAGTTGGAAATCAGAATCTTGTTTCTTAATCCCACTTCTGCAGAGATCTGCTGCTTTATTCTTGTCTGTACTGATTCATATACTAAATTATGTAGGTGGGAAGTTATTTTGTTTTCATTTTTTTTACATACCGATTATAGAAAAGCCTGATGCTCAGTGGGCTGGGTCCCCAAATTTAATCTTTAGCTGGTCTGAGGTTGATGTTATAGTTAAAGCCAAGCTTGAAAATACAGTATGTTTAAGATACTGCAGGATTTACTTAATGAAATTTTCATTTTAATCATTATGACTAATTGTGATTTTTTTAAAATCCTTCTCCAAACTGCCTGCATTTATCATCTATATGAGCTGTTTAACATACTATGTGCCATTATGAAGTGTACCTAAATTATCTCTAAACTGTTCCATAGCAAAAAGATATCTCATATATGGACAATGCATAAAACATTTGCTTATAACAGGATTTAATGGTGCAAATGACAAAATAAACACAGACAATGTAATTTAATGAAATTGTATACGATATGTTGCCAAATAGCCCTTTTCTCTATAAACACGATGTAAAATTGTACTGTATTTGCTGATTAGATGGCCTGTGAGAAGCTCCTCGATGTTGTCGGTGGACTGGTACCCCCAGTCCAAGAACCAACAAAGATGCCAGAAGATCAGGGCCGAGTCAAGACCAGGACAAGGAAAGGTAATCACTTCCTGCTTTTGTTAAAAAGTTCACTCGCTGATTCTGACTATGAACAGCTTTAAACGAGTTTTGCACAACTGACATTTGTGTGACATGTCTAACTGCGATTACATCAGAACATTATGTGCTGCCTCTTTTTATGTTTTGATTAGGCAATGACCTGAGATTGCTTCCCTGCACCAGCAAAGCTGTGTTACCTTTCTGTCTCCAGCTGATGCTGGCCTGCTTTAAGGTATTTATACTAAGTACCTTAATTGTGTTAAGCCAAATGAATGTAATTTAAACGTTGGAGTCAGTGTTTTTTTTAGTTAAACTGTGATGATTCATTTCTCAAGACTACATAGATAAAACCTTGTATAACCGTCTTTGTCTTTTTCTCATTTTGGCTAATCAGCTCCGCGCCTTCACAGACAATCGTGACGACCTGTCCCTTGGTCATGTGGTGGTGCTCCTGCAGTATGACTGGCCACAGGGCGAGATGCTGTTTTTAAAGGCTGTGGATAAAATATGCCAGCAAGGCAGTTTCCAATATGAGAATTTCTTCAACTATGTCACCAGTATCCTTTTCTGTAACAACGCACACAGCCACAATACAGCCTGACAAGAATGAATCTTTGGTGTAACTTTGTGTGTGATGTTAGTTTCCATAAGCTTATGATTTTTGTCAGACATTGACATGCTAGAGGAGTTTGCATACTTGCGTACTCCAGAAGGAGGGAGGATTCAGCTAGAGCTGCTGCCCAACCAGGGGATGCTGATCAAGTAAGCACCTCAGATTCAGAAACCTTTTGGTTGGCATTGTGACTCTGCACACTCCCGTTCTGTTGGTGATTGAAGTAGACATGGCTTGTGGGGAACTGTTTATTTTGAGCTGAAGATGCTGTTAACGGAGCGGCCATTATAAAGAGAAAGGGGTTTGTGGTTAAAGAGCTTTAATCAAACTCACACTTCATTCATTACTGTAGGAGTTAAGATACTTGAATGCACCCTCACTGACAGAGTTGTTGAATGTTGCTGTCCCTCAGGAACCCTAGTCCCGCCCTGGGGGTGGAGTTAAATACCCTTCTGCTACAAGGGGTGCAGACGATGGACAGGTACCCCAGGCCCCTCCTCCCACAGTCCCCATTCCTCCCCCAACACCAGTCACCCTTCCTCCATTCCCAAACTTCAAGGCTTGTCATCCCCCTCCAGTTTTGATTTGAGGCCTATCATTTTACATCAAGAGTTAGTCGTTCTTTGATTTCCTGTCGGCGTCTGTTTATTTGAGCCATTGCTCGTCTTTCTGTGGTCATCACTGTTGTTGCTATTTGAGGATGATGTTAGTCTTCTTGTACAGTCAGTTTACTTTTTTTGCCTTTTCACTTGATCTCATTTCATTTGTGGACATTTTTATGTGGTTTGCTATTTATGATAACGAAACCTTTGTTGTGTAATCTTGACTGATTTATGTGTAAAAAAAAAAAAAAAAAAAGGAAAAATTATATCTCCCTCTGTAAGATTAAAGTTAAATGCCCTTTCAGTTTTACTGTCTGTGACAACAACTGTCTGTGCTTATATACTTTTTTTTATCCTTTTATTTTTTTCAGACACCACACAGTGACACGAGGAATTACCAAAGGAGTGAAGGAGGATTTCCGTCTGGCCATGGAGAGGCAGGTGTCACGCTGTGGAGAGAACCTACTCAGTGTCCTTCATCGTTTCTGCATCAATGAGAAAATCATCATCATCCAGTCTCTTCCTTGACACGTGGCCTGTGACTTTTTAACTTATTCATAGTTGATATTCAGACATAGTTTTAACTGGACTGAATTAATGACCGTGGCTGTTGTCTCTCAGTACTGGACACATGACTTCTAGTTCTCCTGTGTTTATCATCAATCATTGAACTTATAAAAGAAAAAGTCTTCTCGCCTTAAAAGTGGATCTCTTTTCAGAGTTGGAGAGAACACGCATTTTCTAATCATATAGCATTTTAATAGTGTGTGTGCAGTTACTGGTGTCAACCACATATGAAGTGGTTTAATCATATTGTGATCTTTTGTGGATGTCTGTATTGATAAAAGAATCAAGTGCAGTTTTGATACCGATTAAAGTTTATTGTTTTTGTTACAAACTTGAGCTACTTGTTAGTAGTATATACAAAAAATGTGTACATTAAATGTCATTTGAATGATTTACAGAAGTTGACGTTACTGCATATATGATTTATATTTTATGGACTTACAAGAACAGTCAGTTCATCTTTAGGTCAGTACAAGATTAAAACCTTTAGCTCAAGAAAGTATGTTCATGTTAATGTACCGAAAATATATATATGTACACTAACAGTATGTTTTTCCTCCTGCTCTGTTCCCCCCCTTTTCAACTCTCTCCACCACAGTCACTCATCTATTTCTGTGGCTGATGCGTTTGGCAGGTCTGCCTGAAGAGCAGCTCTGAGGTTAGCCCAGAACAGCCTATGCTTGGCTCTGTCCTGTGGCCACTCCAAATAGGTGTGCCTGCTCATCATGGACTTGAGCTGGTAGTACTTTGATGGGATCAGGTATTGAGGCAGAGGCTCGAGCAGCACCAGCACAACACTGTCTGATCCCCGAGAAACACGTTGGTGGCTGGCGAAGTACAGCTCGTAGTGGCACCACTCGCTCTTGATGAAGTGAGCAGAGAGAACAAACATGGATCGTCGGCTTTTCTCTACACAGCTGATGATGTTCTCAATGATTGACTTTCCAGGAACAAAGTTCTTCTCATGATGGCTGATTCTGAGTCCTCCTAAAGGACCTTCAAGGTTGGGAAGGAGGGTGTTGTGCACCCAGTCTGTGTCATGCTGGCTGTAAGACACAAAAGCATGAAACTCAACACCCACCAGGTCTTCAGGTCGAATGTGTTGTGTTCTGGCACGATGTTTGGCTCTGGTCCATTGCCAGATCATGCTCATGTACCAGAGAGCATCCAGATGATGGCACAGAATCACAGTTCCAATAATTATTGCCACCGCTGGGCACAAGATGGTGGCTACTAGAAGGCCAGTATTGCACTGGACCTCTGGGATCCAGATGTGTTTCAGGGTAGAGTCTCTAAGGGCCTCTGGGTAGGTGCAGTAATAGCCCAGTGGCCAGTCCGACATATTGATTCTTGTGTGAATTTCATTCATTTCAGATTTGATACCAAGACTAATGAAACCTCTTAGAGCGCAGGTGCAGGTAAAGGGGTTGTGACTGACATCCAAGGTTTGCAGTTTGGGACAGCTGTTGAGCTTGTTCACAGATGGGGCATGGAGGGAATTTGATTTTAGCAGAAGCACCTCCACTATGGGGAAACTGTTACATACAGGCAGGTCCAGAAGCCTGTTAGTATTTAGATTCAGAGATGTAAGGTTTTTCATTTGCAAAGTGGATGATGGTACTGCAGAAACCTGGTTGTTCTGGAGGTCCAGAGTCTTTATTCCTTTTGGTAGACATTTAAAAATGGAGTCTGTCAGACCATTAGAAGACAGAATCATACTGGTGATGTTTGGTGGCCAGGCACATTCTGCCAGGCCATCATAAACCAGGGAGTTGAGGCTGAGGTCCAGATGTTGCAAGGATCTCATGTATTGTACACGTTTGCTCACCAAATGAAGACTCTTAAGATTGTTATTGGCCAGAATCAATTTCGTCACATTGCCCAGATCCTCACATTCAACAGTTTCCTGACCCTCCACTCTGGAGAAGATAGTGTCAGACAAAGCACAATTGGAAAAGTCCAGGTGGGAGAGTGGACTTTGTGATTTTGGACATGTCATGTGTATGACTGAAGTCTCTAGCATTGCTAAACTCTTCACTGGCAAGCTGATAAAAAAGTTGTATACAGCTTCCTGTGAAAACAAGAAGGACTTCACCACTGCTCTTCTGACAGTGAAGGATGTCATATTAGATGTCAGGTTCATATCAGTGTCTTCACTAGGCAAATTGGTGAGGGCCACATCAGTGATGCACAGGTGGGTAATAGATGTTTTCAGACTCACATTTACAAAAGTAGTCAAATCTTGCCATTTAATTATTATGTTGGTGAGATAAAGATGAGAAGTGCGAGGTGTTACTTTCTGCAGCTGCTCACTTAGGTCTCTGTAGCCATCTGTCAAATTCATCAATTCCACTTCATCAAAGAGTAACAGAGCATCAGTGATCAGATCATGGTTCATTATTTCATTACATGTGAAGGCTATCTGAAGCTTATCAGCATGAACATCCTTCAGGCTGCCTGCTTCATAACCAAGTTCATCTTCCAGTGAAAGGGTCATTGTATGTAGTTTCACTTCAGCAATGTTCTTGAAATCACCCATGCTGATGTTTTTTGCTCCAACTGCTAATATCTCCAGATTTATCAAGTTACTGAAGCCAGTCCCCAGTGTCATGGTGAGAAAACTGTTACCGGCTAGGTTAAGGACCACGAGATTCCTCGTGTGTAGCAGGTAATGCTGACCTGACAGGTTCTTCAGCCTGTTGTGGGACAGGTCCAGAATCTCCAGGTGTGACGTGTGGAAGAACGTCTCTGGATCGATCTCCTCCAGACTATTCCATGAAACATTCAGGAACCTCAGGAGAGTGGTGTTTTGGAAATCTTCTCGGTGGAGTTGCTGTATGCGGTTGCATGAAAGGTCTAAAAACTCAACCTTCTGTGGCAGGTCTCTTGGGACAGAAGAGAGATTTTTGGATGAGAAGTCTACGATGTTGTCAGGTGATGAAGCAATCAGCTGGAGTCTCACCAACATGGCTACTGTCCAGAAGGTGGCAGTCATGGGCTTCATTGTCTGCCTGGAAATACACATCTGTGTTATCACTGTTCGTCTTGTAGAAGCGATGAATTTAATTTAATTGATTATTTTTCCTAATTTTAGTTGCAGTGTGTTCTGCAGGGTCTTTGTTTTTGTAAATTTGAGAATAAATTGCCTTTGATCAGTCGTAATAGCTAATGACATCCACCACGCCCCAGAACAAATGGAAATACATATTTTATTTTCATTAAATTTATAATTATGGTCATTTTAAATACTGCAGTGGTATTTGTTTTTAATGTATAATTTCAACCATTGTGTTTTTAAAACTTGTTTATTCTTAATATTCTGGTCAAGATGATGTTAATTTCAAAAGGATTAAAAATCAAATCTAAGCAAAATTAAATCTATAAACAACACAGCACATTGACACAAAGGAGAGCACTTACCTTTATTGAAATCTGATGGATTTTCAGCAGATGCACTGAGCTGATTTGTTGGTGTTTTAATCAACTGGTATGTTGCAGTTTATACTTTTTAACTGGACGGTGAGTAGCTGAAGATATCCATGATCAGTCCATAAAAGCAGCCCGGTTACAGAGGTTTAAAGTCTCAGAAGGTGAGAAAAACAAATGGAATTCATACACAAGAAAAAGATGCATTCAAATCACAGCAAAAATTGTGAAAATAATGCAAAAAAGCAAACAAAAAAACCCATCAAAAATAAATTCTGTAGACTGACTAACAGTCTGGTCTTCTCCTTTATTTCTCTAAAACAACCTCTTCTCCAAGTGTAGGTTGCTGAGAGGAAACAGATGTAGATATGAAAGCAATTCTGAGACTAGTCATGCTGTTTGTCTGTATACATCCTCTTTTCACTTCCCTAAAATTGACTGTACAATGCTTTTTTTAACTGAAACAAACTATTTATTATGCTATGACGAGACATATGTAATACCACATCTAAATGTGGGGGGTAGTCAAAAGTATTTGAATCTGGATTAGTTTTATAGTTTATAGTTTATTTG